CTAAAATTCAATAAAACATTAGACTATGGAGAATATTTTCCTTTAAAAATTAAATAAAAAAGCCACTTATGACATTTTCTTCAATTATGTTTTACACAAGGTCTCCATAGAACATTAGATCTGTCATCATCTTGCCAAACATGTAAATACAGCTACTCTAACTTTGGTTAAAACATTCATTTCTGAGATATTTTAAGCTTAAAGTAAATAATATTTGTTTCAAATCAGATTAAAATTATACTTTAAATCAGCTAACATTCCTTAAAGTTTCAGAAAAGTGTATTTTATTTTTGCATGATTTTTAAAACCAAGAACTAATTTGTATTTATAAATGTATTAAAAATGGACATCTTTCATAATGTTACTGACAAAAAGAAAAAAAAGAAAAAGAAAAAGAAAAAAAAACGAAAGGCGATTTCAATCAATCTAATTTCTGTTTGAAATACACCCGAGTATTTTGCTTACTATAAATAGCAAATTTAATCCTTTAGTTTTTCAATTAAAGCTAAAATGAAAGCTTTTTCATTTTTAAAAATTAATTTAAATCTTAGGTATTGCAATTTTTGTGGAGGTACCTGTGTTTACACAAACACAGTTTTGGCTTAGCTTGTGTCAATATCAAGAGAGCGAGGGGTTAAGATATGAATTTAAACAGCCATGATTCTCTTGAAAAAGATTGTTGCAATCTCCTTTTGCCTTCTTTATATCTTTTTTAATTCAGAGTTGTCCTTTTCTTAAACTGGTTACCAACCAAGGTCAAAAAGCCCAGTCTACACAACTATTTCATCAGCAGAGAGACAAGATGGATTTGAGCCTTTGCAAAGAGTATAAATGCAAAGTAAAAATAAACTCTCTTAGCTGAAATTTTAAGTTGGCTTGCCAATTCCATGCGATTAATCTCTAGTCTACCCACACTTTACCATACGTACATACCCACACCTTTACAATTTTTTTTTATTTTACTAAATCTTCATAATACAAGGCCCAAGAATCACTCAAGATAAAGGATTACTGAATTTTGTATGGATGTCAGAGGAGGAACTCAATCCAGATTATGAGAATATGTCTAACAGTTGACTCTAGAGTTGAAGAGGTTAAAATTGTAGTAATCAAGAAAGCATCCTCTCGGGAGTGTTCTACAAAATAGTGATTCTTGGGAAGATGCTGAACTGAACTTCTTTCTTACAAATGGAATACAAAGGGAATGGTGAGGATTTGATCATATGTATGTGGTATGACAGGTTTTAGCTGTAAAGGTTAATATTTTTCCTATCTAATTTAGCTGTAGAACTAAATTAGATAGGAAAAATATTAACCTTTATCACTTTGTATGTGACTTCATTTGCTATACAACCTGTCACTGAAGGTGACTGATCCATGAACAATAGTGTGTTTGAATTTCATAGTTGTGTTGTCATATCCAGCTATGGCAACAGAAAACAACTTTGGTTGAAATTAACAATAAAGATGCTGCAATTGAGAGGCCTTGAAAAAGAATGCAGTGGAAAGAGAAGTAATAATAATGCAGAATGCTAAAGGTTAAAACCATTAAGACAAAAAATGGCTTCTGTGGTTGAGTCATGAAAGAAGTTTTTCATTGTGAATCATGTTTCATATAAAGGAGGTAAGTAGGGCAAAAAGTGATGGACTAAGAAAATAAGCAAGCACTCATCTACCCAACCAATCTAGCCACAATATAAGGAAGGGAAACATTATTTCCGCTGACGCTTGTTGAACTCTGTTAATAGTGTGAAAGGTCAGTGGTTGAAGGCCATATAAGTGATGTGTTGATTTGCCTTATCACACTGATGCACAAAGAGAAAACCTCTTCAAAACAGGATTTTTATTTATCAGAAGGAATCAAATAATTTGGTTCTGACTGTAAATATAGACTGATGGTTGCTAAGCTTATTCTGTTATTCATACAAACAAAACATGTCATTTACTTTTTTTTTTTTTGGCACACCCAAGAAGAAGAGTGTTCATTATGAGAATACTCGAGTCATAATGAACAGACTCTTCTTAAGTTTAAATGATTTCTGCATATCAAACACGGATATACTTCCCATAGTCTTTTTTTCGTTGTTGTTAATTCGCCTCATATTCTGTGCCCTAGTATGAAAAGTTTAAAGAATAAAGAATAAAACGAAAAACACACTTTAAGCAAATTTATTTCAACTATTGTTTTTTTGGGTTTTTTTTTAGAAATTAAGAATAGACGGATAATTATATGGAAATCTTTTTTCGGATGCGTGGCTTTTAATTTTTATCAAATCCAAAGAGCTCAGAATATGAGGCAAGTAAAAAAAAATATTAAAGGTAAGGGAGGTAATTCAGTGTTTAGGGCGTTAATTTTAAATCATATCATCTTCTCCCACCACTTTTCCAAAAGAACGGGTTGCGAAATCAGAAAAAAAATTCGCTAAATGACATTTTATCAATTTCTTAGTGTGTGTAACAACGGAACAAAAAAACACGAACAAAACCATTTTATGCTGTAAATCGGACAGATGACAAGCAGGAAAACTGCTTATAGCAGAAAAGGATTTCAAATTTTCAGTTTCATTATTTCTATTCATTTTTTTCAGCAACATTTTTTAAATAAAAAGAAAATAGTTTAAAAATTATGAAATCAACTTGTAAATGTGAAATCTAGCAAAAAAAAAAAAAATATTTTAATATTAAATCCGGCTAAAATTTTACAGGATTTTATTTTTTAATTAAATTTCGACACTTTCTTAAAAGAGAATTTAAACTGCAAAATAAAACATTTAATTTCATAAAAATAACATTTTAAAAAAGTTTTTTTTTTTTTTCTGATTATTGTATATACAAAGAAACCCGGATATAAGAGAGATTTTCTTTGGTCCCAAATTAGAGCCTGTGTTAGTTAATGTAAATAAAATAGACCAAATCCGGATAAAAGAGAAACTCGGATATAAGAGAGATTTTCTCTGGTCCCAAATTAGAGACTGTGTTAAATGTATATAAAATAGACCAAACCCGGATATAAGAGACTTCTTCTCCGGTCCCGACAACTCTCTTATATCCGGGTTACACTGTAAAAGAACAATTACATGATTTAAGGATGGGCAAGTGCGCGTGTGCACTCCAAAAAGTCTGGCTGTTTGACAAACAATACATTAAAAACAATTATTCTTTTATAGTTACGAATGATAATTGAATGGATAATTCAGATTTAATTTAGAAGAAACTCAAATATTTTATAATTTGGAGAAAACCACAAACTAAAATAAAAAGCATGTTTTGCAACCGCCATGTAAACGATGGCGGAACACCGCCCAGAAAGTTATTTCAGTCTTTTCTACCAAAATTAACAATAAATGTTTGCTTTTAGGTATCTCATGTTTATCAATGGATAAATTCTTACCTTATAGCTAGCAAAATTTAATCCTTGTAACGATAAATAACCAAAATCGAGAGAAAAATTCGTGGACTCTGGTCAGTCAACACGAATGTTCCTCTACAAACTTGTTCTTTTCTTCTCGACTGAATTGATGCACCAAAGCATAAGTTTTTTCTTTTTCACAAATGGAAGACACTGACAAACAAACTTAATATTAAATTTGGAGTCGTTTAAAAAAATTCCATTTAATTATTAAAATCATACAAACTAAATTTGATGAATATATTTTAAAATATTTAATAGAATTATATTTTAGAGATTTCAATAAACAACCCGAACCGGATGTCCCATTAAAAAGTGTAAATGAAAAAAACACTGACTAAAAAATAAAAAAAACTGTATATTCACTCAAAAATTTCAGTTGATTTTATTGCATAAATAAATTGTGACATTACAAACACTTTATTAAATTTACAATTTGATTAATCTTGAAAATGACCTCAAATTATTGATAATAGTTTTTTAGTAAGTTGAAAAAGGACTGAAAGGATGGATCACTTAGTGAGAATATATAGTGATTTTCTAAGCTCGGCTTAAATGTGGCACAAGGCCGAAAGTATGGGGCGCCCAGTGAGGATAGAACTCACAACTCAATCGTAATTGATCTCTAGCAAGACAAGCTTTCTAACCATTACACCACGTCGAGGTAGGTAGGTAGGTAGGTGTGTGTGTGAAATTAATAAGACAGTTTTTTACGTTACGTTTTTTACGTTATCAAACAAAAAAATATAAATGCACATCTTGGAATTAAAACAAATGTGCATATATCTTCTTAGCGTTATTTCTTCAACTGTTTTTTGAATACAAATAAAAATAGTTGTGAAGGACTTAGTTTTTTTTTTAGTAATAATAATTAGTAATAATAATAACACGCTGGACCTCGGAAACCAACCTGGTCACAACTTCTCGATTGTAACCAGCTATAAAAATAAAAAAAATTAAAATAAAAAAAATTGAGATTTTTATGGAAGATAAAAAATATTATGACTAACTTTATTAAATAAAGTTAGTCATAACTCATAATATTTTCAAAGATAAAAAAAAATTATGACTGTTAAAACAGCTAACTTTTTAGTTTATGACTGGACTAACTTTAATGACTAATTTTATAAAGATAAAAAAACTATTAACTCAATAAAGTTGTTAGTCATAATATTTTTAATCTTAGTAACATTATTTAAAAATCCTAAAACATCTGCATTTTTAAAATAGTCTATGTAGAAAAAATGCAGTGTGTGTGTGTGTGTGTGTGTAAAAGTATATATAAATAAATTTATAAAGCGTGAAACCCAGGGTCACAAACTCACATCTCCAATCCAATATATATATATATATATATATATATATATATATATATATATATATATATATATATATATATATATATATGGGGTAATTTGCAGTTTAGGACCCGCGCTAAGTAGCTAATAAAAATCTCCTGAATAGTGTGTGTAAATAACGATAACATAAGGAAGCACTTCCTTAAAATGCTAGAGAAGAAAGTTAGGTTTGAGATGTTCATGTCACTTCTTATTCATTCAGGAGAGAACTCTCTACGACTGAGATTGTCACGATGAATTTGTCTAATTTCTTCTTCCTTATATGTTTACTTTACACCATCATTATTTATCAATCATCCCAGGTTACTTTACCAACCCTTTGTGAAGGTCAGATGAGTTTTATTTGTATCTGTTTTTATTAATTGATTATTTCTCTTCACGGGTTTTTCTTTTAAATACGAAGGAAGGGAGGATTCATTTTTAAATGTCTTAAAACTTAACACGTGTTGTTATAATATGCATGTTTTTTCTTATTTATTGTGATACCTCAAAATTGAATTACACTTTATCCACACACTTCTCGAATCCTATGTCTTAAGAAATATATAATAAGTCATCAATGTTTAATTTAAAATGTTACTTCCAAATTAAATTCTCCCACTAGACAAACACATCAACAACAAAACTAAAAATGTAAATAAAAAAGAGAAACCTATTCATGCCGGCCGGGTAGAAAAATAAGAACACGAATTACAATTGTGCAATAAATATGGGAAAATGTTTTGTTTTATCAACATTCTCAGGGTTTCTCTTTTTTTGTTGTTAAGACTTTAAAAAATAAAAATAAATAAAACCACATTATTATCAAATCAGCCACCTCAATCCATTTCTTTGATGAATGAAAAATTATTGAAACTTCCAATTTCAAACTTTTCTGAAAGATTAAAAAATTAATAATCAGAAAAAAATAAATGGAAAAAAATTACTTCTTCGGATAAAAGAAAAGATTATATAATTTTTTTTTTTCATCATAATTTGAAATTCAAACATAAAAGAAAACAATAAAAATATCTTTTCTTTCATTCAGTGTTTGTTTCCTTTCATTAGTGAATATTTTGGTCAGAATTTTTCGCCGAATTTTTTAAGATGCAATTTTTAGTTGAGCTTTTTTATTATTTTTATTATTATTATTGTTCAAAATAAATCACTCAACAAGGATCCTTTTTTCATTTTATGAAATCAGGATTAGCGAGAGAGAAAGCTGCCATAAATTGTTGTATTCACTTCTGGCTTTTTTTTGTTTGCTTTGATGCTTAAAACAATTATTGTCTTGACGTTTTTTATCTAAAAAAAAAACGGTTTTAAAAATTATCTTAAATGTTTTTTGGCCCTCCTGAAATTACAGATTTTTTTTTTCCTACATTATTTAGAGTTGGAAATTTTTGTTGTTACAGTTATTATCACAACCTTTCGGCTGTTGTGCTCTCCGGCCTTCAGACGTCTGTCAATCAAGGTAACTTTCCAGGGAATTTCAAATTGAACCCATTATTCAATCTATGAGAGTAGATTATTCATTTACTCTCCATGTTTAGGGATACCTTGTATTGATTGTCTGTTTTGTTTTTCTTTTTTGATAGTTCAAGTCTATCCATACTACCCAACGCAAGGATTGAACTCACAATTACCATGTCAACAAATTTATTAACCAAAACTTTAATCATCTAGGCAATTTCGTGTGGAACAATCCTAAAGCCAGAACTTAAAAGCATATATAAACCTAATGTTTTTCTTGGTTTCTCTGTTACTGCAGTAGTCTTGATGTCAAGCTTGGCTCTCTCTGTCATTGTTTCTCATTCTTTTGATTTCCCTTTCTCACTGCAATCATTTTGTCATGCCCCAGTATTATTTATTGTTATTTATGGTGCATGATGATGTTCTTTCTTTCTTAATTAATGGCTACCATATGGTACGCCTAATTAGGAGACTGTCATAGCCAAGTGTAAGCATTGATTTGTCTTATTCTCTAGCCTTCTTTTCTGTTTAGTATTTTTTACTTCATTCCGCATACATGATCAATTATGCCTGATTTCATTGTTGCACTCCTAATTACAACTTTAAAATGTTCTTCCAGCCTTACATTTAGGGGTTGACTAGTTTCATATTTGCCACAATTGCAATGAATGAATGCACACCATTCTTGGTGCAGGTTCTCCTCCATATTAGGCTTGACTTAGCAACAATATCTACATAAGCTTGAGTTGCTTCTAAGTATTTTGCTGATGTTGTATAGACTGCAGATCTTTTGAATCCTTTCTTTTGAATGCTCTTTACATAAGGGAGAGGTTTGTGCCAGTTTTCTGATCTTCTTGACTCTGCCTGCAGAAGCTGATGCTATTCTTGCTGGGTGTTTGTCACTTTGAATGGTTTGTTTGATGCTGATCCTCTCCTGTTGGTATACACCTGGGTAACCACATGATTTTTGTATGACAATCACTTTCTTCATGTGTGAATGGTGGGAGTTGAAGATTGTCCTATAAATGTTGGCTTATGATATATGAATGTCTTGAACTCATTCTCATGTGAATTATTAGTAAATGAGTGATCAGCTGATCTTTAATTTCCTTTTCCATTGTGAACTGGATCAAAAGTCACATGGTCCAATAGTATTTGCATATCTTCCTGGTTAAGCCCAAATATGAAGATGTTATCTATGTATCTCAGTCATATAGTTGGTTTTAGTGATGCCATTTCTTCAAATTGTGAATCCATAGTCAAACCTTCTTCCTGCAACATGCAGTTTTTTGTTTTTATCTCAAGATCTTTTCAACTAGTGAAATTAACAATAAATATTTTTGTCTTGAACAAGTTTTTCATCATCCCTCTCCCATGTTAAATATTTTATGTTCAATGCATTGAGAAATTTATCATTAGATAATAATGACATTTTTGTATATCCTATGCTCACTGCTGAAAGTTTTGCCTTTAACCATTTTAACTGTGCAATTTACTTTATTCTTTATCAAATGACCTCACATCCAAAGCTCAATCTGCCAGCATTTTTAAATGCTCAACATAGTTTAAAATATTTTATTTTTAATCAAATTTATTTATCTTCTATTCAAAATGTTTGGAATCAAACACATTCACACCAAGTTTGTTTATTTACCAATGTCTTTTCCTACTTACCACCTTTCCTTATCAATTTCTTTTTTATTCCATTTTTAAAATTCCTTTATTTGCAGTTTGTAAGTATATGACCCTTGAGCTTCAGGAAAAATTAGCTGAAACAGAAAAATCCAAAGCTGTACTGGAAACTGGACAAGGCTTAGATAAGAAAAAGCGAATCCAGTATCAGTTTTCGTGAGTATTTCAGAAAATATTTAAGTAAAAGTGTCAAAATATTACAGCAACCAAATTTATTTGATAATTTGACCTCCATGTTAAATAATTGTAAAATCTGGTCTGCCTAGGAAACTAAATTTAAATTTCTTTTAAAAAAAGCATTTACTTTGGGTAAAACAACTGTAGAGTCCAATGTAAAACATTTGATGTCTTTTTATCAAATGTTTCCTTATTGCAAATAAAGAAAATTTGTTGCTTAAATTTTAACTATTACCTATTTACAGTAGGGCCCCCACCATCTGTGAGAATGCCAACTGCAGATGCACTTATCTGCAGTTGGCTCAATCAGAAAAATCTAAAATATATTTCAAATACATAAAATATAAACAAAACATATAATACAAACTTTAATGATAATATTTTGAAAATATTCAAAAGTGAATCAATTTAAATTTCCTTAAACCTCATTAAAATCTAACTGATCGGATCTTGAGAGAAAGTTTAATTCATTGGCTTTTGAATGTTTTTGCTTAATTCATTTAATTTTTTTATATTTGGTTTGCAGCTGTTAAATATATTTTTAATGGTGGGAATTTCATCCCTTCTGTCATCAAATGGGCTGAAGTTGTATACTTAAATTTTGCTGATTAAAGTAACTATTGAATTTATAAGTGTTCAATCCTTTTAGACAAAACATTTGGACTGTTTTCTTTCAAGAAAAGAAAATTTTGATTACATTTTAAAGAACAGAGTGAGCTTCATGGTGAAAATTTTTGAACATACAAAAATTATTTGGATTTTGTCATTTGCAGTAGGTCTTGTAATTATGCAAGACATTCTTGCATAATTACGGCTATGTTTCTTTATAGATGTAATTTGAAGCCAAGTTGTTGCTATTTGAGTAGGATTTATGAATAACATGTAAATTGATATGTTTCCCTACCAGATGTGTATAGACTTATTGCAACCTATATTATGTATATTAGGTACATGTGGTCAGTAATTACTCAGGGTAGGCAGCTTGTAACCTTTACGTAGTAAATCTACCAAAACATAAAATATTTTTTATTTTATGCATAATAATCAAGAGTAAACTTCATAATTTTATTGGATCACATGTGTATTGTGCTACAAAAATGAAAATGTGGTTGCTGATCTATGAGTATTTTGCATATTTTTGGTTGAATGAGCTTCATTTTTTTTTTTTCTTTTGGACAGAGAATTACGTTTGACAGAAGCCCTGCATGAACCACATGTGTGTGACCGTTTACTCAAATACAACATCCATAATGAAAAACCTGGGAGCTTGCGATATGCAAAAGGCAGAAGTGAAACAATGCAGACGCTTCACGGATTGAGGTAACATGCAGTTTTCACTTCAAGGAACAGATCACAAATACTATAAAAAAAAAATCAAAAAAAATCCACATTAACCCTTTGAACTGTAATCCCCTGATGAACCTGGATCTCCCACCATGCCTCCTCCCACTTTCTGTCTATCTCATAAACCCACACACTAGGAAAATGTACACATTTACACTGAGTTTACAATGCAATAAATGACAATTGTAATAGTATTTTATTAATAAATGAATCATGATCAAAATTATGGGATTGGTTGAAATTCTCTTGTGACATAATATTAGATAAAATATCCCCTGATTAGCTGAAATACCCAGGCCAAATTATGGTATTGGTTGAAATTCCCTTGTGACATAATCTTACTTATTATAAAATGCAGATTGTGTGTGTGTGTCTGTACGTTTATATATTGGATCGGATTTCCTACATTTTTCAACCGATTTCAACAAAACTTCACAGGACTACATAAAATTACCTTGCGGTGGTTCTGACAGCGCCAAAAAATTGGAAAAACAATTGTTTTTGCACAAAATCAATTTGAAAACACAATAAAACACGATTCTGTCGCCGGAATGAAAGGGGGACAACTCATATCGAGTTATACTTATAAAACCCAGGTTGGTTGTGCATGTGTCTGTGGGTTCGTTTATATATGGGATCGGATTTCCTACATTTTTCAACTGATTTCAACAAAACTTCACCTTTTTTTTGGCAGGTAGTGTTTCTTATTGTCTTGCACACTTTTTTCTTTATTTTTACATTCAGAATGCTTTAAAAATTCCTTTCACAAGACAATTGTTTATAATAAAATTCTATTCAAATTCAATCGATAGACTCATAACGATTGAAAACAATGTTTTTGTTTGAGTTTGGGTTTGACCAATTCGTAAAAAAAAAAAAAAGCAACAAAAAAAAACTAATTAAGACATGCGTGTCCATCAACCTTAAACAATAATCTTTGTCAATTTTATTTTTCAGACTTTATGATGGTCGATACTTGATCTATCTCTTACTGTTACATCCCCGGGCAACGCCGGGCTCTACTGCTAGTATTAGATAAAACATCCCTTGATTAGCTGAAATACCCAGGCCAAATTATGGTATTGGTTGAAATTCCCTTGTGGCATAATATTAGATAAAACATCCCCTGATTAACTGAAATACCCAGGCCAAATTACGGTATTGGTTGAAATTCCCTTGTGGCATAATATTAGATAAAACATCTCCTGATTGGCTGAAATAAACCGGCCAAATTATAGGTGAAATTCACAATTATAAGACTGTCATATTTGTAAACAAAACACACATAACTCTGGCCAGTATACCAACCACCCAGGTATATGCATTTTCACGCAGTGGCCAGTATACCAGCCACTTGAGTTTAAAGCATTAAAGTTTAAAACTGTGCCTATCACAATATTTTAAAACAGATTGATAATAGCTAAAAAATATACTTGTAAGGTAGTCAATATTTGATTTGCAAAGAAAAAAAGATAGTATAAACCCAAAGTTGGAATCAGTTTTTAAATTTATTTAGTTATAAAATGGATTTCTTTTTCTCTCTTAATTTCTGAAATGAGTTGTTATCATTATTTTCTACAATCAAACTAATGACCTTGTTTTTGTTATTATAACACAATTTTAACTATTGTTTTCTGGCTTTCTTCAGATGTCTGTCAATCCACATAACCTTCAGGGAATTTCTAAATGAACCGCTTTATTTTATATGTATGGAGGTAGATTGTTCTTGTCCTGTTATCCATACCTAGGCATATTTTATTCTTTTCTGTTTTAGTACTGCTCAGTTATTGCTATTCCTGTTTCTATTTGAAGGTCTTACCCCAGATGCTTCAACATTTTTTTTCTTTTCTTTGATAGTTCCTGTTCACAAATGGAATAGTGTTTACTAAATTGTTTTATGTTTTAATGTGGCTTCTCTTTTACTGTCTTGATTCAAAAGTTTTACCAACACAACTAGAAAATAAAACTTCTTTATACTGGACATGGAGGAGGAGAGAGTTTATGATAAGATTTGAACACCAACTTTTAAAATCAGATCATTAACCACATTAAAAGTTTTTTTTTAATTTTCTTTTACAGAATGAAAGGTGTTAAAGTTGACCTTGGTATTCCTGAAGATCTGTGGGATACACCCTCTGTGGAAGTGTCTGATTTACATAGAAAGGTAAGTAACAGAACATCTTGAATTGGATTTACAACCAATCCATTTATTTAGTACTAAAATTTGTAAAACTAATCAGTTTAAAAAAAAAAATGCAATCTACAAATTTATACACTTGTTTCAAATTCTATTTAGAACAAAAAATTGATTTATTAAAATATCTATATTCTGGGAATTTTTTTTTTGGGGGGGGGTGCGTGCTCAGCAATGAGAATGGAATGAACCAAAGGCTTGAAATAACTGTTTAACAGTTTTTATTTGTGGTTGAAAGCATAGTGCAAAAATAAATGTACTTTGTGGAGGGGAAAAGAGTTGGGTTTCCCAGTTAACAAAGTTCTTTTCTTGAGTCGATGTTTCATACAGAGAGATTTCTCCACTTTTTACCATAGGAGGAATAAGAAATCTGTGTGTCAAACTGCTATGACTGGTATGTATCTTCTGCAGCAAGAGTTATATGTAGTTTTTCCTTTAGGTAGGTGTCTCAAAGGGAGATTTTTCTCCCCGTTTCCATGAGGAATGAGAAATCTGAAGTCAATCAGCCAGGAGAGATCACGTTGTTTTCAGCAGCACAGGTTGTGAGTAGCCTTTCAAGCTGAGCCTTGAAAGTTGTGGCTGTTGAAAAGGAAAAGATAGCTGGCTGTGAAGGTAGAGGCCACTGAAATGGAAAAGTGGAAAAGAAACCAAATAAAGCTCGGTCAGTATTTTTATGACTTCTGGGACTTTTGTTTTTTTCCTGCTGATTACTTCCATTGATGCTACTGCTGAAGCAAAATAAGGAAACCCCCACATGCCACAATACAAAAACAAGTAAAATAGTTTCCATATTTCTACCATGATTTCTGTGGTTATTACTTTTTGATGATTCATTCAGGCTAGTATCTTCATTTTTGTTGTTTTTATCCAAACATTTTTGCTGCTGTATCTTCCGCCTGTGTGTTCATTGATAATTTGTGGCAAAGTCTCATGTGTTCAGTTGCAAAAAACACACTGAATCATGTGCCTATTGGCCAAGGGAAAAGAAACAAAAAAAAAAACAGAAATGTGATGTCAGTTTTGAAACCTGTTCCATCTGGAATTCTCTCAGCAGTTTTTCCATGTGGGCATTTTATCTATATCACTAATCAATAAAAATGTGGGCAGTCAAGCAGGCAGAAGAATCTGTGTTGATGTTACATTCCTGTTGAGTTTTTTCTGTATGTTATTTGCTTTAACCCCCCCTCTCTCTCTAGGTGAAAGTGTCACTTACCAATTGCCCCTTTTATATTTACGTTAGACTCGTCTTGCTGAATATGTCACCTACTAATTGCTTTTGTGTTTATTTGCATTGGAACCCCTTATTATCACATCAACTTATATAATCTTCAACGAATTTTGAATATATTTGATGTCATCGCAAAATAATTCCCTTCTAATGTTATAAATTATTTTTTGTGCCTAATTTTATTTCCAATCATAAAACTTTCTGTTATTACTAAAGTTTCTTGGACATTTTTTTTTTTTTTTTGTAAGTTTCTATGAACTAAAATTCTTTTACTGAAATTGTAGTTAAATTTCAAAGGAAGCCAATGGGTTCTTGACAAAATCCAAAGGATCTGTAATGTAATCAATCCTGACTTGGCATCTTGACTTCACTGACTTTCTCACTGACCTGATGTGGCTACCCTCTGTCTTTTCTACAAATATTTTCATGGCTACTGCTCTGATAAACTTTTTTTTCCTGGTGCCTGGACTATGTGAGTTTAAGTGTGATACTAGATTGGCATCTAGGTCCCACCCTTTTACTGTGGAATTAGTTAAACGTAACTGCCTTTTCTACTGCAACAGTTTCTTTTCTTGAATTTCTTTGCTTTCCTGATAACTACACTCTTCAAAAATCTAAAGGCAATGTCAATTGCCATCTTCTATCCTCTTCAACCACAGTTTGTGACTTGAAGAACTACACTCAATTGAAGTTCCACAAAGTTTGTGATTTAAAGAACTCAATTTTGGGCCTGAATTGGAATTTCAACTCAAATCAAAGTTTCAGGGAGAATTGGACTTATAGACTGAATAAGAGTTATAGTGAGATTTTGAAGTTCCATGGAGTGAATTGAGGAAAATTATCATTGTTGTTTCCTAAGCTGGATCAAAGGACCCTTTAGTTTTGTGCCAAAGGCTCAATTAGCCCTCCACAAGAGCTAGCTTAAAAGTCCAAATGGGGTATTGCTTTTACGCTAGTATATATATAAGTGAACATTGACATCAATACCCACTGGCGACAGTCCATTTCATGCTTAAATGCAATCTTCATGGTCTGAAGTTTGCATTTAAGTATGAAACAGACTGTTGTCTCTGGGTGTTGACATCAATGTCCACTTTTATATTTACATATGCTCTATCCCAGATATTGAGCACTTTAACCCATAATATAGCATACCTTAAAACATACACATATATATGTATATATACACACACTATTTATGCTCTCGAAATAATTCAGTTCAGCTCTCAGAAAGGAAGGGATGATTTTATAAACAGTGGCTGCTACTGCTAATGCAATGCTCTTCTGCTGAAATCGAGCTCTCCTAGCTACTGACATCTTTCACATAGTAAAAACGTCAAAATTTCCTTTCTGCTCTGCCGTGTGATGATAGCTTGGAGGTCAATCATGTTTTGATCCTGGCTTGAAGCAATCAGATGTCTAGTCATACTGATCAGCTGTGATACAGTAAAACAGTCTGTCTGTGGACGAATATATATATATATATATATATATATATATATATATATATATATTTATGTGTGTGTGTGTAAAATAAACCAACACAGAGTTGAATAGAAGGTACAAACCCTGCCTATACAAAACCTAAAAAAAAAAAAGAAAGAAGCAAAAACCTATCTTGTCAGAAAGTGTCAACACAAAATGTCTATAGAATGGGGAACCAAACCAAAAGGGATTCCTAATAACATTATAATTGTCTGACAATCATGGTTTTGGCATGAAACTCAGAGTAATAGTCATAGAAACTGTGGAACTCCTTTTCAATTTCTTGTTACCTAAAAATTTAAATGCAATGTCAATCGCCATCTGTCTTCCTGAATACTGTTCCTTTATTGTCCTTTTCCTCACTAATGTCTTCTCTTTCTTAATCACTCCCTGTAACCCTCTGTATCCTAGTGACATTATCACCTGGGGTGAAATCATTAATGTACACATACACACACACACACACACACAGACACACATATAATATAAACTATTTACTTTATTTCCCAGTGTATCCGTCTGGTGGAAGACCACGAAACTGATATTGAAGATTGGTATTTCAGTCATCAAGGTAGAAGATCTTTACAAGAATATCTTTGTAAAGACATTGTACTTTTATCTCATGAAGCTGGTAAGTCCTTTCTTTATCATCTCTTTTCAAATATCTGTTTATCTTACAAACTGTTAGCAGTAATTTCTTTCTGAATTTTTGGGATTATTTACGCTATTTACACTCAGACTATTTTCCTAATTTTTGTTATTGTTATTGCCATAACATTTTGGCTTATTGATTCAGGTAATTTTGAACAGAACCCTTTATTTAATCTACAGCAGTAGATTATTTTCAATCCACTGTTTTGGAGTAGGCATATTATTCATCTAGTTCTTATTTAGTACTGCTATTGTTTACCCTGTTTCCATTGAGTCTAAGTCTGCACTACCTGACCCAGGGATTGTATTCACAATTACTATGTCATCAAATTCACAAACCAATGTTTTTAATCCACTTATTGGCCCATGGGACAATCCTAAGTGTAGAACTTGGAGCCTTAAACCTACTCTGACCTTCTGCAGCTTGTCACACTTAACTGCTTTCACTGAGGCTTCTTTTTTCATGCTGCTGCTGGAAGCCTGTCTCTCATTTCTCTTCAATTATCAACAGCTCCCATGTCATTGACAGTGAGTTCATTCTTTAAAAAGCACTTCATTAATATGTATTTAGATTTTCTCAGATTTTTTTTTTTAAAAAAATCAAGAAAACATTCAAATTTTAGTGACTAAATTTCCATAAATAAGATTTTTGGTGATCATTATCACTTGTTCATTTTGAACAACTGATTTACATTCAGATTGATATCCTCATCTTTGTTATTATTACAGCATTTTGGTCATTGTTCAGTCTGGCCTTTGTCAGATGTCTGCCAATCTAGATAATGTTCAGAGTATTTTAAACTGAATTCAGTATTTAATCTACAGGTGTAGATTTGTTTTTGTTCCGCTGTTCAGGTCTAGGGATGTCTTGTCTTGTTTTTTATTTACTACCATATATTTATGCTCACCCCTTTTTCCACTGAATTTTTTTATTTAAATATTTTTTCATGTTTTGAATTTTTTTGTGGTTAAAGCACAATAGACTCATTTTTGAAGTATCAGATTTGATATTTGTCCAATAAAAAACTTTTCAATATGACTATAACTTTTTTCCAAAAATTTTGTCTTCAGAATAAAGATGTCTTATATTTGGTGCATCTTATATTCTGAAAAATATGGTATTAAAATTAGTTCACCATTCCCTTCAAAGTAGTTGCCCTAGGAAAATCAGAATCAAGAGGCTGCTGCTGATTTTGAATGTCAAGAGCCAAATTTCAAACTTCATAGCAACACAATATATTTCTGTTTGAATTTCTGCATTGAGGAGTTATCATTATTTACATTATTCTTAGTTAATTCCATTTATCTGAGAGAATTGTTCAGTGACCGACTTCAAGAATTTTTTCACAAATTTCTTTCTATATTTTTTGGCATTTTGCTGGTGACCAGTTGTTCAGGACACTCATTGTCTTGAATTAACACTCAACTGGGTTTGAAACAGTTTTGCTTCTCAGAAATCTTTAGCTGAAAGAATATTTGCCAAAATACCTAACAAACCATTTCAAGGGTCTTTGTAGCAGATTTTTATTACTGCCTCATAACATAATTTTATATATACTAGGTAATGCAAAAGTATACAGTAATGAAAAACAAAGCATGCACAGAAAACATATTGTATTGATTACACAAACATATCAATTAATAATCATATCAGTCCCTCAAATGTTCAAACTGTTTGCCTGCATCACTCACACACTCCTATTTATCGCCAAAGCATTTATTATTATTATTTATTAAAAACTAAAAATTATAATAAATGTATTATAATAAAAATTATGAAAATGATTTTAATGAATTGAATGGATTCTCGTATTAAATAGGAAATATATATTAAAGACAAACAAGAACAGTTGGTGAAGCCAACGGACAATTTGTCAAAACCTAAAACTGTTATCTAGATATAGTCTTGAATAAAAATGACAATACTGAAAAGAGAAAGATAAAAAGGGCCTAGCGTGTGTGTGTGTATAAAGGTGGACACTGAAGTCAACGTCAAGCAGCAACAGTCTGTTTCATGATTGAATGCAATCTTCAGGCCATGTATTGTGATTTGGCTCAACCATTTATATATATACTGGTCAATGGTTCATTATGGGTAGCAAGGCCTATTGTATTATCCTAATGGTTATTGGGTAAGTGATAACAGTTGTTTCAAATTTTTCTAGAGGCTATTGAGTAGGAATAATAGCTATTTTATCGTATTTGTTAACTTTTTACTTGTTATTTATTATTGATTACATAATTATTCTTTTTTGTTATTACTACATTTAATTGTGATAATGTGAGCATTTATTGTTAGTTAATTTGTTTATTATTTAATTTGTTTGTTTTAGATTTTTTTTTATTTATATTAATTTTTCGGTGGGGGAGTTGGTTATTTTAGTTTGGTTTAAAATCCACATTTGAATACACAATTATTTCTACTCTATAATTTTGTCTTATGTTGATAGTTGTATTTTGTTCATTCATACTCGTTGATGTGTGCATGCATTGCACTGAGTTTCAACATG